AGCTGTCTCCCTTTCCACCCCCTCTCAGTCCACGGCACCATAATCCATCCTGCTCTATCCCTGGCAACCCCAGAGGGCTTTCCACACCACCCAGATGAATCTGTCCACAAGTCCCCTTGTTGGTCATCACCTAAAACCCGCATCTTTCCTCCGCTGGTTCCTTGCCGTTACGCCTGGCATTACCCTTTCTCAGGTGGGTTACTGTAGTAATAGTAACCACTTCCTTTCATTTTCCTCTGATTCCCTTTTAGTTTATCCTGTTCGTTTCCTCCCTCCCTCCCTCCCCTCCCTCCTTTCTTTCCCCTTTCTTTCTTAATAGTAACCACTTCCTTTCATTTTCCTCTGATTCCCTTTTAGTTTATCCTGTTCGTTTCCTCCCTCCCTCCCTCCCTCCCCTCCCTCCTTTCTTTCCCCTTTCTTTCTTTCTTTCTTTCTTTCTTTCTTTCTTTCTTTCTTTCTTTCTTTCTTTCTTTCTTTCTTTCTTTCTTTCATCTGTTTGTTCGTTCTTTCTTTCCTTTGTACCAGAGATTGAATTCAGGACCTTGGGCTTGTGAGGCAGGCAGCAGCACCCCTGAGTTAAATAAATCCCTGGCCCTATTCTCTCCATTTTCTACACAGCAAACAGCATGATCTTTTAGAAATGAATCAGATCATGTTGATTCCCACTGATGCCTTTCATAGGCTCCCCTGCACAAAGAGAAGATTCTAAAATTCTCAGTCTGATCTTCAGGCCCAAGCTGCATCTCTGAGCTTAATCCTCCTGCAGGCTCATCAGGCACTGAACAAACACATTGATCTTCCTGTCTCAGGGCCTTTGCACCTGCTTTTTTTTTCCCCCATTGGGGAATCTCTCTCCAGTTCTACATGTCTGACTCCTGCTCATCATTCGTGCCTTAGTTTAAAACAGCAATCCTCCCCTTTCTCTCATGTCACTAGTTTATTCCTTGTTGGTGGCTTTTATTTTATTGGGTTTTTTTGTTTTGTTTTGTTTTTGGTACTGGGGATCAAACTTCAAACTCAGGAACTTGGTGCTTGTGAAGCAGGTGTGGCACCACTGAGCTAAATACCCAGCCCCTTTTTTTTTTGGCTTTTTGAGACAAAGTCTTGCTATGTAGCCTAGGCTCGGCTTGAATTTATGGTGATCCTCCTGCCTCAGCTGCCTAAAGCTGGGATTACAGCATGCGCCACCATGTTGGCTTCCTTGTTGGTGACTTTTAGGGAAGACTCTGAGGGCAGATTGCCTGAGCATCGGATCCTGAGCATATTAGTCATACTGCTTCGTGACCATGAGACCTTAACCACTCACCACGCTGTCCTTCAGTTTCCTCATACCGCATCGTTTCTCTGGTGTGAGAAACCGAACGTGGAAATAAGGACTAAAATGTGTAACAGATACTGGGAGACGGGAAGAAAATGTTCAAATGGGAAAGGGAACAAGGGAAAGAGGAGGGGAAAGGAAGGAAGGGACAAGAGAAAAAAATAGAAGAAGTAAATGGAAACAAAACTTTTGTAAATAAGGAGAAGAGAGGTTGAAGCAGGGAGAGGAATGGAAAAAAAGCAACATGTATCTTGTACAGGTACAAATTCCCTATAATGAATGTTGTCACTGTGTATATCTAAAATGTACCAATATAATTTTTTGGTATTGGGGATTAAACTACGGTCCTTGCACTTACGAGGCAGGCAGTGGCACCCCTGAGCTAAGTCCCCTCCCCTGTCAATATAGTTTTTTTAAAAAGCAACCCCCAAAAAGAACCTCAGGATCAGTTCCTGGCACAGAGCAAGCACTCATATTACCAGATTTAAAAAAATATTTTTCCTTCGCTTCCCCTCCCAGATATTTTATTATTCTTTCAGGTTACATTTCTCAGGATTTAATTATTTTGACTTCTGAGATGTAAACTTTGTGGAAACAGAGATTAGGCCTCTCTTAATTGTTACCAGCCCCTCACATCTTGCTCAGGGGCTGGCGCTTAATTGGGTCATTGAGTGAATACATGAACACAGACATAATCTCAACCCTTTTATCCTAGTATTTACCCCTTCAGCACCCGGCCATTAGCCCGGCAGAGTGGTGCCCATCCGTAATCCCAGCACTGGGGGAGGGCAAGGGAGTAGGATTGAAAATTCAAGCCTAGCCTTGGCAATTTAGTGATTTAGCAAGACCCTGTTTCAAAATAAAAGATGAAAAAGGCCTGGGGATGTAGCTCAGTGTGAAGGCCCTAGGTTCAAAAGAACAATAGTAAAAACAAACAAACAGACCCAGCACCTGACAGTTCCAGAGATGTGAACACTGAGGCCTGACTGGGGGTGTAGCTCCGTGGCGGAGCACTTGGCTGGCACGCATAGGGCCTTGGGTTCAAGCTCTAGGACTTCAAAAACGAAACACAAAAACAAAAACAAGTGAAAAAAACCTGCGCCCTTAAAGGTGGGTAATTTGAACAGTGCTTCACGGGAAAGGAGCTTCGGAAGTTCCACTTGTCAGAAGCAGGCTGCGGCACCTTTCAGCACTGTGAACACAGCTCACAGCCCTTTATTCCAGAAATAATAAGTAGGGCGAATTTTTGTCACAGGAAAGCTTAAAAACAAAGAATCCTGAGCTCTCTGGATCGAGCTGCAGGAGGGCTGTGGTGCCATCGACGGAGATGACATCCTACTGCTGTAGCGCCTTCCTCAGTCCTTGTCCAAATACCACACCCCTCCATCTTCCCCATCACTTAGGAACCCGAAGCCTCACATCAGAAAGGCAGGAGCAGAGGTTCAGAGAGGAGAAAGGACATGCTCGAGCTACACAGCGAATTAAACCCAAATCGATTGACTTCTAGGACAAGATTCCTTTAAGACCTAATTGATTTCAAAGCTCTCACTGTGAGAGTGGAGAGAGAGAGGCAAGGAGGAGGGAGGAGGCTGGGAGGAGCAAGGCGGGGAAGTCTTGCAGTGGTGTCCAGTGCGGGCACTGACAGGCCCTAGAGAAGCCAGAGACCTTGGGAGGGGCCGGGGCATCCGCTAGGGGAAAGGGGAGATGGAGGCTGGGCCCGGCTGGGTTATTTTCAGAGCTGCTATCTTTGTCTGCATCTGCTAAATTATTAAACTGAGACAGCATCCTAGAGGGTGCCAGGCCAGGTGGCCAGGAAGAGACTGAAAGGGAGGGGTTGGATCCCTTAGCTGAGACCTTGAATCTTCTAGGCTGGGAGTGGACTCTTCAGGCCTCGCTTCCTGCTCCACTCCACTCTCACTCCACTGATCTGGAGGGGATCTGGCTGGGGCCACAGCCACACTCAGCAAAGCTCTGTTGTCTCCACTGGTTACTCTCGGAGGCAGGGCTGGGGAGGGGGGCAGAATGCTGGGTACAGACCCAACAACACGCAGGAGTCTGACCTGGGCTGCCTCCTCTCTTCTAGTCTGTCTCAGACCACAGGTTTTTGTTTGTTTTTTGAGACAGGGTCTCACTATGTAGTTGAGACTGACCTGAAACTCACTATATAGCCCAGGCTGGTCTCGAACTCATAGTGATCCTTCTGCCTCAGCCTCCCGAGTGCTGGCATTACTGGTGTGTGCCACCACGCCCGGCCATTCAGACCACAGGGTTTGATCAGGTGGTCATAACCAACTTGTGAGGTCTTGGGCACATCTTTGCATCTGTTGATTGATACCCTTGCCTATGTGGCAGGTGTTTGCTGTTCCATCTCTCACATGAAGACTCTGAGGTTCAAAGAAAAAGGCCTTTCTCAGAGCTGGAGAGCCAGGAAAGGACTGAACTTGTATCCAAACACAGGTCTCTCTGATATCAGGCCCCTTTTGCCTTTATTTATTTATTTTTTGAGTCAGGATCTCACTATGCATTTCAGGCTGACCTTGAGCTCACTGTGTACCCCAGAACTCCTGGTGAGCCTCCTGCCTCAGCCTCCCAAGTTCTGGGATTACAGACATGTGCCAGCATGCCCAGCTCTCTCTTTATTCTTTTTCTTTTTACAGTAATTTTTCTCTATTTGCTTTTCTAAAACAGGAATGTATAGAACCAAGACCTGTCATGTAAAGGTACAAGATCCCAATAATGAATGTAACTGTACTGTATACCTAAAATGTACCAATAAACTCAATTAAAAAAAGGAATGTATAACTTTTAGAAAGATTAAAAAAAAAAAACAAACAGACAAATCCTGAAAGTTTAAAAAAGAAAAGCTGGGCTGGGCTTGACTCACCTCCATAAACCCAGCACTTGGGAGGCTTAGGCAGGAGGATTGCCATGAGTTCAAGGCCAGCGTGGGCTGTCTAGTGAGTTCAAGGCCAGCCTGAAGTACATAGCAAGATCTTTTTTGTTGTTGTTTGTTTGTTTGTTTTTGTTTTTTGCTTTTTGGTACTGGGGATTGAACTCCCAACCTTGGACTTTCGAGGCAGGTTCAGCACCACTGAGCTAAATCCCACCCCCCACTTCTTTTTTGTTTTTTGCATTTTGAGACACGGTCTATGTAGTTGAGACTGACCTGGAAGTCACTGTGTAGCCCAGGCTGGTCTCGAACTCACGGTGATCCTCCTGCCTCAACCTCCCGAGTGCTGGGATTGCAGGTGTGTGCCACCACGCCCGGCTGCCCCCACCCCTAAAGCTAGAGATGTAGCTCAGTAGCAGAGTGTCTGCCTACCATGTGCAGAGCTCTAGTTTCAATCCTCAGTATGGGGGCTGGGGATTTAGCTCAGTGGTTTCACTGCCTGCCTGGCAAGCACAAGGGCCTGAGTTTCATCCCTGGTACCAAACAAAACAAAACAATCCTCAGTATGGAGGGGTCCTCTCATTCCAAATGCTGTGTTTGGCAGATTGGATGGGTGGTTGACTGTGGCTCCTGTCCACTCCTGGGAGTGTGGAGCTCAAGTAAGTTAAGGAAGATGCCCAACCTCTTTCACCTCTAGTCCTTTGGGGTTTTTTAGTTTGGTTTTGTTTTGGTACCTGAGATCAAACTTGGGTCCTTGTGCTTGCAAGGCAGGCGACGGAACCACTGAGCTAAATTGCCAGCCCTCTAGTCCTTTGTATAGGGTGCTTCCACCCCAAAATTTCCCTCTCCCTTCCCATTTATGCTTCATTTGCTTTGGTTCATCCTCTGGGTCTTAGTTTAAATTCTACCTCCTCATTCAGTGGTGAGTGCTTGCCCAGCATGCCCCTGGCTCTGGCTCCATTCCCAGCACCAGAAAGAAGGGGGTGCAATGATTAAATACCGTCTTCAGCTGGTTTTTATGTTCCTCTGTGCTTCCCCAGTCCTGACATAAACCTCACCGCACTAACTTTGAGGGGACTTTGGTTTTTCATCAAGAAAAGGCAGAGGCGGGGGTGGGGGAGGCTGCTAATCCTCCTCTAAAGGGATGTGAAGAGATATAGAACATTCATTTATTTTTTTAAAGTGCTGGGGATTGAACTCAGGGTCTTTAGCATGATAGGCACACACTTGGCCACTACTAGAGCTACCTCTGCAGTCCTGTACCCATCAGAGAATTCAGTGTCCAAGGTCCTCCCACTCAGAGAAATTAGTGCCCAAGTCACACAGAAGGAGCACAGGAGTGGCTTTTGAATGCAGATCTGACTGGTTTGCTGGATCCAGTTCATGGTGCGGGTGAGGGTCAGTCCTGGTCTTGCTCCCCTCCATTGATAAAGCTCCCATGAGCTGGGAGCCACGATCTGGCAGATGCAGGCAGAGAGAGCACCTGACAATCTCCCCACCCTAATGGGAGGACCTCTGCACAGAGAAAGATGTGAGGTTGGATGGCACAGGAGACCTTCCAAAGGGATGCAACATCTGCTGTGTGTTCCTCCTTGCTGGGGCGACCTGGTAACTTCTGAGCTTCCCTCACCCTCCATGAGTCCCTCTGACGCCCTGAGCCCCGCTTCTCCCACTGCGAGCCTCCTCCAGCACCTCTGCACCCATCAACACCAGCCCCCACACTGCATCCGTCACCTACACTGAAGACTCACTGAGGTCTCGCCCCTCACAGATTCTCCCGCCAGCCCCTCCTGGTCCCCTCGCTGAGCCTCCCCTACTACTGGTCCCTGGACACCTCCCTGCCTCTCTCCCTCTGAGTCCTCCTCTTTTCTCTTCACGGGACCTGGCCCCCTCGCTCTCCCTCCCTGCTCTGAGGCCTGCTGAGCTGCCTCTCTGGAGCAGCTGTGTCACCCATGAGTCCCTGTCACTCAGGCAGAGGCACCTGTGAGCACTCAGAGAGTGTGCGGGAGGAGCCCTCGTGCCCTCCGCAGCTTCCCCTTAGGGCTGGGGCAGTATTCACGCTGGACCCACCTTGTACAGGTCCTCCCGAGCCCAGGCTCTGCTGCAGTACTTCCCAGTGGCTTTCACACTTGGTTTCTGGCCCTTCATACCTTGCTCCCTCCACATAGCCTTCCTTCTTTGACGGCAGCTTTCTGCAGGTGCAAACCCAGGTAAGGCCATAATGCCCCAGTAATGTCTGGAAAAGGGAACAACAGAGCCACTGCTGCTGTGTGGAAAGTGGACGGGGCTCATGCTTTCATCTTGCCAGCACGACAAAAGCCCCCGATAGGGAGGGTCTCTCCACGACAGGGGATCCAAGTGTCTGAGTCCCCAGAAGAATGCACGAATGGCTGAGCTGGTGCACTTCTGTGCAGATTCAGCCACCAGCCAGGAACCATGGCACCTTCTGAGTCTCTTTTCCCCTTCACATAAAACATATGGAGCCGGGCGTAGTGGCGCACGCCTGTAATCCCAGCACGGGGGGGGGGGGCGGTTGTTGAGGCAGGAGGATCGCTGTGAGTTCGAGACCAGCCTGGGATACATAGTGAGTTCCAGGTCCGTCTCAACTACATAGTGAGACCCTGTCTCAAAAAAAAGATGTGGAGACACCTGCTGGGAAAGCACGCAGAGACAAGGGAAGAACTTGGGGGCCTGTGGCTCGTGGTGGGGGGCACCAAGGTTTGCGGTTCAGAGGCTATGCTGTGGTGCTTGTTCTGCAGGTGAAGGGTCTGGCTGTCGTAGAACCAACCACTCAAATGCACATCCTCCCTGGAAGGCACTCGCCCCTCTTCCTCTGGCAGCCCTGGGAGATAGGAGGGGATCCTGGTCAGCCCTGTTGCCCAGGAGATCAGGCAGAAACTGATTCACCCAAGGGCGGGCTTTGTGTAAGGAGTCAGGCCCCCTGAGTTGTAGTGAGGGCTCTCACTGTCATGCGGAGGCTACAAATAAAACTCCCTGAGGTGCAGACTGAATTCTACTTCTAAGAGTCAGGCCAGGAAAGGCATGGTCTTTCTACCCCAACTCTGGGAAGAGGTGAATGGGGACCTGATACCCTTAATAGGGTTGAGCAGGGCGAAGGACTTGGGACCGGAAGGGTTTGGGGAAAGTTCTGAACTCCTGAGGCCAGGGAGGAGGGGCGGGCTCAGGGCATACTGTTCCCTGATTGGCTCTACTGCCCATCGCTCCGCCCCGTGCCCTATAAGACGCCCCCAGACCGGTGCTGCGCTGGCGTAGGCACTGCGGCCGCCTCTCTCT